TTAAAAAAATATATATTTTTATCAACAATGTGAATGAAGACAGTAGGTATGCCTACCAAATGTAAAGACCAAATAAATCAGAAAGGATAATATTAAATGTCTAAATAAAAACAAAAGGGGATGGGCGTGGTGGCTCACGCCTGTAATCCCAACACTTTGGGAGGCCAAGGTAGGCGGATCATGAGGTCAAGACCATCCCGGCCAACATGGTGAAATCATGTCTCTACTAAAAATACAAAAATTAGCCAGGTGTGGTGGCACACATCTGTGGTCCCTGCTACTTGGGAGGCTGAGGTGGAAGAACTGCTTGAACGCAGGAGTGGAGGTTGCAGTGAGCCGAGATTGCACCACTGCACTCCAGCCTGGCGACACAGTAAGACTCCCTCTCAAAAAAAAAAAAGGAAATTTAAAAGCCCGTATTTAATCTAAGCACATCTAAAAAAATAAAAATAAATAAAAGCCTTATATTTAAGCTTAAAAAAATCCACCACATAAAAACAAGGTTGGGAAGACTCGGTATAACATCTTATGTATAAAATATACAGGACAGAAGTTGGTACTTCGGGCTCATATTAAGCATAAGTAACAGAAGTTACAACTGAAAATGAAATATTTGGTTTTAAGAAACCTGCATTTGGCCAGGCGTGTGGCTCATGCCTGTAATCCAAGCACTTTGGAGGCCAAGGTGGGCGGATCACCTGCGGTCGGGAGTTCAAGACCAGCCTCACCAACATGGTGAAACCCTGTCTTAAAATAAAAAAAAGGCCAGGCGCGGTGGCTCACGAGGTCAAGAGATCGAGACCATCCTGGTCAACATGGTGAAACCCCGTCTCTACTAAAAATACAAAAAATCGGCTGGGCATGGTGGTACGTGCCTGTAATCCCAGCTACTCAGGAGGCTGAGGCAGAAGAATTGCCTGAACCCAGGAGGCAGAGGTTACGGTGAGCCGAGATTGCGCCATTGCACTCCAGCGTGGGTAACAAAAGTGAAACTCCGTCTCAAAAAAAAAAAAAAAAACCACAAAAAAAACAGATTTGGCTCATACCCACCATACTCTCCATCTGGTCAAACATCACCTAAAATGCTGGGTACAACTCTGGGAACCATGTATAATGACAATGACCAATTTAGAGTTAATTTAAAAAAAACCATGATTGAAGGATCAGAGAATTACATTATCTAAGGAATTATAAAACAAACTGGGATTCTTAACTCTAAAGAAGAGAAGTGGCCGCGCGGTGGCTCAAGCCTGTAATCCCAGCACTTTGGGAGGCCGAGGTGGGTGGATCACGAGGTCAAGAGATCGAGACCATCCTGATCAACATGGTGAAACCCCGTCTCTACTAAAATACAAAAAATTAGCTGGGCATAGTGGCACGTGACTGTAATCCCAGCTACTCAGGAGGCTGAGACAGGAGAATTGCCTGAACCCAGGAGGCGGAGGTTGCGGTGAGCCGAGATTGTGCCATTGCACTCCAGCCTGGGTAACAAGAGCGAAACTCCGTCTCAAAAAAAAAAAAAAAGAAGAGAAGTGAATGTTCACAGTACATGGCAGGGAGAAAGGATCAGCAGTGACACTACAGTAGTCTTCAAACATGTGAAGAGACCGTTCATGTGAAAAGATTATACTTGGAAAAAGCAAAATACAGTGGGAACAGCAAAGGCTATGATATATAAAGACCTGGATTCAAATCCTGATGCTATCATTTACTGTGTGTTATTTGATGTTTGGAGAGAGATTAGTTTTCTTACCTAGAAAATGATACCTATCTCATAAATGTATAAAATTAGAGGCAAAAAATACTTATAAGCTGTGTGGCACAGACTGACACACTGTAATACACAACGATGTTAGTTCTCATCCCTAGACTTTGCTGAGTTATTCTAGAACAATGTTTTGCAAAGTGAGAATTGCAACTCATTAATGGGTTACAAAATCAGCTTAGCTGGGTAGTAACCAGGATTTTTTTTCTAATGAAACAGAATAGAATGGAAAATATCAAAGCATATCACTTGTAGAAGTAATCATAATTTTGTGAAACTTTTGCTTCAGTTATTCACATACATGTAAATTCTAGATGATGAGTTAAAATGTATTTCTTATCATGAAGCTGAGTCCAAAAAAAAAAAGTGTGAAAGTGACTGCTGTAGAGCACTGTTTTCTATGTGTGTTCTTTAAGATACTAGCTCCTTGGGAACTCAATTAAGTTTATGACCAAACCATACTCTCTAAAGATTTACTACGTTCAAAACACACTAGCATCTCCAAGAGCCCAGCATTAAAGAAAACTGTTTTATTTTTGCTGAACCCAGTTTTTCTTGCATTTATTCAACCCCGGAACCCATCCACTTTTTTCCTACATAGCACTTATGGACATCCTCAGAACTAGCACTTTGTGGCACACATACTTGGGAGGAATTCTACATCCAAGGAATTTCATGCCTCTAGATGAAAAAGAAAGTGCAACAACTAGAAGTTACAGAAGGTGGATTTTTAGCTTGCTAAGAAAAAAATTGACTTTGAATCTTCCTGCCACTGACATCCTCCCCCTACAACTTTTACCCTAAACACATCGAATGCATTTTAATTCATCCAACTTTCAGTTCACACAAATCTTAGGAAAAATATATGACATCTAGGCCGGGTGCGGTGGCTCACGCCTATAATCCCAGCACTTTGGGAGGCCTAGGCCGGTGGATCACGAGGTCAAGAGATCGAGACCATCCTGGTCAACATGGTGAAACCCTGTCTCTACTAAAAATACAAAAATTAGCCAGGCATGATGGTAGGCACCTGTAGTCCCAGCTACTTGGGAGGCTGAGGCAGAAGAATTGCTTGAACCCAGAAGGCAGAGGTTGCGGTGAGGCGAGATCGCGCCACTGCACTCCAGCCTGGGTAACAAGAGTGAAAATCCGTCTCAAAAAAAATAAAAATAAAAATAAAAATAAAAATAAAAATTATATATATATATATATGACATCTATAATATCAAGATATGAAGCTAGGATCAAAGCAGTAAGCAGGAATCACCTAGTCAAAAGAAACTCCAGGTGTAGTATTTAAGGAAGACTTGCTTTACCTTAACAAAACTCATGCTCAGGAACCAAAGCAGCCAAAGACTTAATCGGCTTCTCCAAGTAGACTCAATGTGTTCTAATAATATATAATCTAAAATGGGCTGATGAGTGCAGCTAATCCTCATTATTATGAACATCATTATTATCATCACTTGCAAGAGCCTTGTGACAACATTTACATGATTCTGGGTTCTTTTCAAGTGCATACATACCCAAGATTCCTTTGGGAGAATGCAATTTCACATTTATATCAAAAACTGTCACTACCATAGTCAGCTCTAATAACATTTGATATCACGTGGTAATAAAATAAAGGCCTGTCATTAAATACTCAAGAGTACTTCTGTTACTCAAATCTTCTAACTGGGAGTTACAAATACCACCGACTGTGCTCTTGTAGCTGTCAGAGCGTAAAATGCCCTTCCCGCTCTTTCGTCACTTAACAGACTCCAGAGTCACCTCCTCCTCAAAGTCTGGTCCAACTACTTTGGACTACTATTTTCTTCCCAGTTATAGAGCACGGTCAGTACTTTTTGTTTTATCACTCTTTCGGTAATTCACTGTACACTTTCCAGTTTATTTAACTGCACAAAATTTAGTTCTCAATATAACTGCCTTATGAGCACGTAACAACACAATCTTCAGCATCTCCTACATCATGTAAAGGCTCACAAAACATTTCTTGATTTAAATAACTAGGCTTGAGGACGAATACTAGCTAGTTTCAGAGTTTACTATATGCCATATCCAGTGCTAAATACATACATGGATTATCTTACTAAATTTTCATGACTCTATAAAGGTAAGTGCTATTATTTTCTCCATCAAATAGAAGAACAAAGTGAGGCTCAGAGTAACTTGCTCAAGGTCATACAGTTAGTAAGAGGCAAAACCAGAGCCTGAATCCAGAACACTAACCTCAGAACACTGCAAAGTTCCAGCCCTGCAATACCAGAGTATTTCACTAAATAAGAAGTTTTAATTTTAACAAGGCAGAGACATTTTAGCTAAAAGTTAAAACTTAAAAAAAAAAAATTAAGAGGAGAAATTTCCCACAGACATCTTTATAACAAAATGAGGGGGAAAGCCTCCCATGTCCTTTCTATACGAAAGTGATTATTAAGGTGTGGATCTCAATTTCACAAAGAAGTAGCTTATGACAATACAGCTTTGGTTTAGAGTTTAAAATAGGACTCTTTTTCTCTGCCTCTAGGAGGACGTGGAAATGAAAGATGGATGTGATAACTCAATTCAGAGCTACGCAAAACGCCAGACTCAAAATTCTTGTTTTAGAAAATAAGACCCAGGGCTCTTGTTCCACCCTTGACTTTTCACACAAAGCAGCACCATCCTCTGCCCTCTTCACACAAAGCAAGCTTTACCCCATCTCCCCAAAGCGAGGGTGCTGATCCACACGGTCTCCCCATACCCGACAGAAATGGGTCCCACACACTAACCACTGCACAGACGTAGACGACTTCGTTCTGCCCCCGACCCGCCGCACCTGGTGATACCTCATCAAGCAGACCCGTCCCCTACACCCAAAATGCCCAGGGCCACCATCCGAAAGCCAGTATCTCACACAAAGCAGGATCCCTGCCTACAAAGCAGTTTCCCAATTCCGACTCCTCCCCAGGCGAACAGCCCTTCTCAAGCTGCACCAACCGACAGACCCCAATAGGATCCGGCGCCCAGAGAGTCCACAAGCCAGAGAACGAGCTAAAACCCTGTTACTTGCGCACGCCTTGAACCCCCAACTCCAGCTGACCTTCCCTCTGCCAAAGCAAAAAAACCGTGAGTCCCCCCCGGAGAGCGGACCCGGTTACACAAAGCGAGGCGCACGACCGGAGGGACCCTCCGAGGACGCTCTCCGCCCCCGGGCCCGTCCCCGCCCCGCTCCGGCCCCGCACCCCGCGCTCACCAGCTCTCCTCCTCTTCCCAGCCCGACAAACGCTCCAGCTCGTCGGGCCGCAGCGGCTCCACCTCGTCCAGCAAGCTGCCCTCGCCCGCCGCCAACAAGGAGGTGGCGTCCCGCAGCTCTTCGCTACTCGTCCGCCTCGGGCCCGACCCGGCCCCGCCGCCCGACTTGGCGCTGAGGCCCAAGGGGAAGCCCCGAGGAGACGCCGCGCCGGAGGAGGGAGTGGACGCGCCGGCCCGAACCGGGCTGCCGGGCCCGAGAGAGCCGGCGCCCTGCACGGCCCCTGAGCGGCTTCTCAGCTGTTCGTTCTGCTTCTCCAGCTTCTTCACCAGCTCCTGCAGCTTCCGCACCTCCTGGTCCGCGTTCACGTTGGAGTTAACGTCCTCCATCCCGGCCCCGCCGCCTCAGCCGCCCGCTCGCTCTCGCAGCGACAGGGAAAGAGCCGGAGAAAAGAGGCGTCGCCGCCGCTCACTCTAGCCGAGGCGCCGGCATATAGCAGGACCAGGCCCCACCGCCAGGGTCCCCCCAGCTCGGGTTCCAAAGCGCCGCTGGCCCCAGCCGAGCTGCCTCATCTGCGCCGGCTCCGGGATTGGGGGAGGCGGCGCCAATATCCGGCCTCTGCCGCCATCTTCCCTCCGTCCCTCCGCCCCCCCGCGGTCCGGCCCCGTCGGTGACCTCAGAGCGTCGGGGGTGGACGCGACCGCCCGCGATCGCTGAGAGGACCCGGCACCGGCTCGCGGCGGGGCGGGGCCACGGACGGGGCCTATGGGGCGGGGCGGGGGGCGTGAAGGGGCGGGGTTTAGACCGGAAGGGGCGTGTCGGCGGATGTGGGCCGCGGCCGGGCTGGGTAAGGACGGTCTCCGCAGGCCCGTAGGCGAACCGAAGGCTCGGCGCGGGCGGGGCTGAGGTGGCGCACACGGTTCTTGGTCAGCCCCGCCTATTGGTCTCGGCGTTTGGGACCCGCGGGCAGCCGGATCTCAGTGGGCGCTCAGCCCAGCCGTAGAGAGACGGTTTACTTTGTTCAGCAAATATTCCATCGATACCTACTTTTAATTGGAGATAGTCTCGGCTGGCGGGAGCCTCAGAGACTGCCTGTGTCCTGTTTCTTTTCCTGAAAATAACCCCAGTTTCAGACAGTTAAGAGAGGTCTAAAGTCAAGTAATCATAATTTCTTGAGTGCTTCCTACTGGCCAGACACCGTGCTAAGCACTTTTAAAGGCATTATCTCATCCATTTAAACACAGTTTTCCTGACTTAAAGTTTACAGCACACTGGCGCAGAATTGGGGGGTAGAAACCACTTCTTTACTGCCTTTCTCCGTTTATTGACTCACAGGCTGCTCTTTAGATCAAGTGTGTCTTGACTTTTTAAAAAGTTGTGTATAAAAATCACTTAAGCGGCCGGGCGCGGTGGCTCACGCCTGTAATCCTAGCACTTTGGGAGGCCGAGATGGGTGGATCACCTGAGGTCAGGAGTTCAAGACCAGCCTAGCCATCATGGTGAAATCCCATCTTAAAAAAAAAAAAAAGGCACTTAAGCACGGTGACAGACACTGAAGAATACAGAAAATAGTATGAATGTGAAGTCTGCCTTTATAATATGGCAGCAAACCCAAACAAAACTTAAATGCCTTGTTTTGATCACAGTCGTTGGTCTTCAGATGTCGGTAACTGCTTTGGCTTGTGTTTGCAGCTTTTCTTCAGTTGCCCCCTCCACCCTTAGCTTAAAAACAATGATCCAGTCCTATTACACCTGGGTGTGGACGCGTGCCGTGACTGACCTGCTTCTACCCTTTCTTTCTTCTAGTGCCGTATTTTCCTAACGTAGACTATCCTGCCTGCCATATCTGATTCCTTATCTTAAAACCCATACTCACTCATTCGGGAAACCTCTTCCCGACAATTCCACAAAGATCTAATTATTCTAGCGTATTCTAGCACTCAATAGTTCTCAACAGGTGTTTGCACTTTTTTAAAAATTGCATTTTTTCTAGGAATTATTTTTCGTTTGTTTTTGTCAGTTTACTTGATTTGAGGAGCCGGTTCATTTTTTCTTACCATGTCTAGTACACTGATAACAGTGGAGACTCAATACTTGGTTTGTTGAAAGTTAAGTAGACTGTAAGTTCTACTAAAACCAAGTAGCTATTTATTCATAGCAAAAAACTTACTGTGTTAAAAGTTTGCTGGCTAACTATAAGTCGAGTATTTTTCTAGCTATGCAGACCTAGTCAAAGAATGTGATTGTCTGCTAATGTAATTGTCAAGTAATATTTATTATCTGTGTAATGAACATCTAAATATCATTACTGTTTCTGACCAGTCTATGAACTTTTCTGTCAGAGGGTTAAAAATCATGACTACTTCATGTATAGCAGTTTTTACTTGCATTCAATGCTTTGTAAAATAGATTCCAACTAGTCAGTTTCTCTAATGGGAATCCTTTAAATATACTCCTTGAATAGTTCACCGGGCATTATGAAGTGAGCACTAATGTTTGTGGGGAAAGAAAAGCTTGTTGTAGTGTGGAACAATGAATTAAGAATCAGAAAGCCGCCAGGCGTGGTAACCCCGTCTCTACTAAAAATACAAAAAATTAGCTGGGCATGGTGGCTCGTGCCTGTAATCCCAGCTACTCAGGAGGCTGAGGCAGGAAAATTGCCTGGACCCAGGAGGCAGAGGTTGTGGTGAGCCAAGACCGTGCCATTGCACTCCAGCCTGGGTAACAAGAGCAAAACTCCGTCTCAAAAAAAAAAAAAAAAAAAAAAATCAGAAAACCTGATGTCAGGTGCTAGCTGTAGCGTAAATGCACTTGACCTTGATCACTGGTCTCTTAATCTCTGGTTCTGAATTTACTTTGGAATTCGTAAGTTGGAGGATCTCCAGTATTTCTTCCAGGACCAAAAAGTAAAGGATTCTGATGAGTCCTCATGGTTGCAAAACATAAGAGTAAATATATTTAGATATGTAGAGAAGTTCATAGTAGATAGATATACTTGGATTTTTAAATTCTATTGCCTTGCTCAATGTCTTCCCTTTTTCATTCAGTATAAATTGAGTATCGACTATGTGGCAGGATCAATCTAGGTATTTGGACGTTTAATTGGCCTCTTGAGTATAACATAACTTTCAGTTCATACACACATGTACACACTGCACAACATATACACACCCTTAAATCTGCTTGCCCTGTAGTCATCACCGTTCCAATAAATGACAGCTCTTTTCTTCTAGGTACTCAAACCAAAAACCTTAGGATAATCCCTACTCCTCACTTTCTTTCACCCACAAGATCCAGTCTTTAAGCAGGTCATGCTGGCTCTACATTCAAAATATGTCTGATTACTTCCCAGCATCATCCGCTGCTACTACTCTTAAGTTGCCGCCTTCTCTTGTCTAGATTACAGTGGTGCTTTTTTTTTTTTTTTTTTTTTTTTTTTTTGAGATGGAGTTTCACTGTTACCCAGGCTGGAGTGCAATGGCACGATCTCAGCTCACTGCAACCTCTGCCTCCTGGGTTCAGGCAATTCTCCTGCCTCAGCCTCCTGAGTAGCTGGGATTACAGGCATGTGCCACCATGCCCAGCACTTTTTTTGTATTTGTAGTAGAGATGGGGTTTCACCATGTTGACCAGGATGGTCTCGATCTCTTTACCTCATGATCCACCCGCCTTGGCCTCCCAAAGTGCTGGGATTACAGGCTTGAGCCACCGCGCCCGGCCTCAGTGGTACTCTTTTAATGAGTTACTCCACTTTGCTGCTTACAGTCTCTTGTCTACATGGCAACCAGATGATCCTTTGTGTAAGTCACATCAGGTTATTCTCCTGTTCAGAATCTTCAGAAACAACTGGCTTCCCATCATACTTCAAAGTCCTTTCCCTGGCCTATAAAGCTCTAGATACCCGGCAACTTCTGCAAGTATCTCATTAGCTACCACCATTCCCCCCTCACTCTACTGCACTGGCTTTCCTAATGGGCTTCAAACAAGCCAAGCATGTTTCTACTTCGGGAATTTTACACTTGCTTTTCCATCTGTCTAAGATCTAGTCTTCCTTCATGTTGTCATGTGACTGACTCCCTCCATTCAGTTCTCTGCTCAAATAGCACCTAAATTCACTATCCTTCATTATGACAGTTCTCCATAAAATAGCATCTATCATTCCCCATCCTCTTAATCCTGTTTCATTTTTCCTCAGACGCGTCTTTCTTTCTTTCTTTCCTGCCTGTCTCTGTCCGGTAGAATGTGAACTGTATGGGAACAGAGTTCACTGTTGTATCTCCAGTGCCTACAACAGTGCCTAGTACATGGTAAGTGCTCAACACATGTTTTTTGAATGAGTGAATGGATTTAGGCTAAGTGAAGTCTCCTGCTTATATCTCAAGTCACTGAAGTGGAAATTTGTAATTGTTTTGAATGTTTGACTTTTAAAATTATGTTTTGTCCTTCCAGAAGAGCAACATGTCATACTGTATATGTCATCCTCAAAACTAGGTCACTCTCCACCTCCTGAGAGCCAACAACCCTTAAGAATTGCTGAGGAGAGAGTTTTAAGTTCTCACTGAGAAGCATAAGGACAAGAATATTTCCTTTCTATCCTTAACCTTGCCAGGATCTTCCTCTTTCAGGTTAGCTATGATATCCTGTCTTCTCTGGTGACTCAGAAGTGTTAGAGCATGGTTTTTTTAAAGTCACTCTATAAGTGACTTTTATATGGATACAAGGAGCAGAGCTAGTAGGTGTCTGAAGTATGCATCACAATTAGCCCAACTAGCTTTTCAGGTGTTGTGTTTTATGATAAGCTTGCTTTGTTGCTGGAAGAAGGACTTGCTTCTTTTCTAAGCAGGTGTGGCCCATTTTCATAACTTGCTCCTACATGCATGTTAGCTCTTAGTGAAACTCCTGACAAAGTGGAAAATATTACAAACTACTAAAAGAACTTAGAATTAAAAACTATTGCTCAATGGCATAAAGATATTTAGCCATCCTAAAATCCTAAATCAAGGGGTGTGTGTGTGTATGTGTGTATGTGTGTGTGTGTGTGTGTGTGTCGATATAAGCACATGCTAAAAAGTAGTTTAGAAATTGCTAGACACAGAAATATTTGCCTTTCCTTAGAAAATTCTCAGATTCTTTGACAAAACCTTGGCTATCCAATCCATCCATTTTATTATTTATTTATTTTAAAAAAAGACGGGGTTTCACCACGTTGGTCAGGCTGGTCTTGAACTCCCGACTTCAGGTGATCCACCCGTCTTGGCCTCCAGAGTGCTTGGATTACAGGAGTGAGCCACCATGCCAGGCCCAATCCATCCTTTTTTTTTTTTTTTTTTTTTTTTTTTTTTTTTTTTGAGACGGGTTCGCTCTTGTTACCCAGGCTGGAGTGCAATGGCGCGATCTCGGCTCACCGCAACCTCCGCCTCCTGGGTTCAGGCAATTCTCCTGCCTCAGCCTCCTGAGTAGCTGGGATTACAGGCACACGCCACCATGCCCAGCTAAAATCCATCCATTTTTTAGCATAACAATCATTTCATTAAACAGTCCATCCATTCAATCTTCATAGGTACACACGGTCAGTTATGTTCTACTTGCCTTCTTTCGTCTGCTCCTCACCAGCATCCCTCCTCCAGATATGCCTCCCTTTGGTCTATGAAGCAGCCTTTTTACTGTCTTGGTACAATGCAATTTTACAAAGGAATCCCAGGAACCTTAAAGGTTAGGTATTTAAGAAATTTTGAATTGAAAGCTTGGTGGCAAAATGAAGGGGGGCTTTTTTAGGGAGATTCTCTGTCTAGAGGGTGGTC